GATTGTGCCAGGCCAGCCGACGGGCAAGAGGGAAGGGCTTCGTCGCGCAATCACAATGATTTGTGATGCGGCGATGCCACGTGCTGGCCCCCCAGGAAGGAAATCAGTGTACTGGTGGTCGCCCGAGATCGCTGAGCTTCGCAGCGATTGCGTTCGGGCGCGCCGCCGGTACACCCGTGACCGATTGTAATCCACGACACACTTTAGTTTCATGATTACTTCCTTTGTGCGATAATGAATTTTTGTTTCCACAAATTGTTCAGTGTGGAAAGTCGATAGCATGTACACCTCCCTTTTGTCATACCATTTCATAGCTAGCAAATGTTCCGACGACCAGAAACTCACCTCGCGTTTTTTCATTTTGTTGCGTAATGTCCGCATATAGCTGAGAGTCTCCGTGGAAACATTAAATATCGCGCTAACGGCCATATCGAAAAGAATTCGCGAATCACAAATCTCATCGCGAACGAGGCAACGCGCATTACCGATCCTTTTCATGCGTAATTGTAGTTACTATTCGCGGTCCTTGTTCTCCTGCGTACCTGCGCTCTATATCGATTAGGATCTTTCGCGCATTCCCGTTTTCGCTGATCGATGCCGATAGATCACCCCGTCGTTCTTGTTGTTCCGGCTCTTGGAGAAGTCACACGCACCCGAGTTATTTTCCAATTCGATTTTCGCGAAATTGTGATAATCCGCCGAGCTATTACTGTTAGTTAGATACGCCGAACATAGATAAAATTAACTGAACGTCGTGCCCGCGATATTTTCTGCATTGTGCCGTTAATTCGTGTAAAACACCGTTGCCGTCACCATAACACGTGGCGAGACTCTCAGCCTTTATTTCGACCGGTATCTCGTGCTTCCGCGATCGGACCTTGATCGCTGCGAAAATTCGGTAATATCGTCGCGTCAAGATTTCCGTCGCATTCGGAGCTAACGCAGAGTTCCGCCCAAGATTTCCGTCGCGTTCGCGAGCAGCGACCCGATCAAGGGTAAGATTTCCGTGCGTTTCCGTCGTAGTTTCGTTTACCGGTCGATGTGTGACCTTTCGTACTCTTTGTTCAAAATTTTAAACTGAAATCGTAAATAAAGTGAAAGTGATTGTTTCCAGTGTAAAAGTGTTAACAGTTAATTCCCGTCCTCCATTCCCGAGTCCAAAAACCTATCTAGAATAAAAATCCAGCCCATTACCCAACACATTTTGTTATCCATTCTTTGTAAACCTATGCGTCTTTTCCTCACTATGCCACAGGCGTTACCATTTTTGTGTAAAAAAGTAAATAGAGTTGGATTTGTATACCAATTATCGACATACAGTGTGTGACTTTTGTGTAAATATGGTATGAGTAGTTGGACAACAATATTCCCAGATTTTCCAAAATTTGCACTTTCGTTGGGAATATTGGAAAGAGATCCGTCATAAATTATAAATTCCTGAATAAATCCAGATTTCTTGTCGCATAACACAGAAGATTTAATACCAAATCTACTCCTTTTTGATGGAATATATTGTTTAAAGGACAATCTGCCCTTATACAACAACAAACAATCGTCAACACATAAATCTTGAAATGGATATAACGCATTTTTAAAACTTTCTCTAAGCATATCATAGATTTCCCGAATTTTATATAATTTGTCACCATTTCCTTGAACAGCATTAATATTGAAATGCAATACTTTCAATAAATGGAAAAATCTATCCCTAGACATTACCTCGCCAAAAATTTTACTTCTTAGAAGTTGATCATTTGACCAATATTCGGAATAAGATAATTTTTTGTTCCGCGACATCAACATCTTTATCGACAGGAAATGATAAATTTCGGCAATAAAAGTTCCTCGTGAAGGTTGCAGAGGATTATCTACTCGTTTTTCATAATCATTTGTCGTGTTGACAATAAATTCAATAAAACTTTCAGAAAAAAATAACTGGAAATAGTCCAGAATTGACGCAGAATAACTTATTTGTATTTTTATTCTGGAATTTTGTGGCGAAAATTGATGAATTTTTGGTCGGGCCGATTCGTTAGTCCATCTAATTTCTAAAGTGCGTTTTTCAGATGTTGTTGAATTTTCTTCCTCCAATTCTGAGGTGCTCAATATATTCCTTCGAATTTTATTGTTAAAAATAATTCTGTCATCTGCCGATTGCGAGTCAGTATGCTGACTTTTATTATTATTTTGATTTTGATTATTTCTAATCATTTTCTGAAGTGGATCAAATCTTTAAAAATATATAACAGCTGGAGAATAATATAAAAGTTAAAAAAATAATCAGTAATACCTTTATGCTGCTGTACAAAAATGCACGTGGTTCTCTATATGTGTAATGTTCTAGTTTTCCTATGCTACAATGTTGTACTAAGCTACAACATGTGCTCTAACTATGTTCTCATGTTACTATGACTGTTCTGTTTTTCTATCTAACTTTTTGGCCTTTTTTGCCACACTTCAAACCTCCGTGTTACCCTTTCATTGCGCCCTCCCATTAGGGGAGGGCGGCGGTCTTTGGTCATTTCTGGGTTTTTCCCCGTGCGTCATCAAAGG